TATATATATTTTTTTTTTTTTTTTTAAGACATATTTAACTTTTGTTCATATATCATTTGACTGATTTTATATTCCAAAAAACTTGATTATTTTTGGGGATTTTTACAATATTTTATGATTTATGGAGTGATAATAAAAACCTCACCTCTGTAAAAACCTTTAACTCTAATAATTTTGAACCTGGCTTTATCCAGTGTTCAGATTTCCATTCTGGAAATATGCAAATTAGTTTTTGCTTAGAACAAGCAAAAACTCACTTAATTTTGACTTGTTTTTTCTGAAAACAAGACAATAATTTATACTTGTTTAGAAAATCCTTCTTGATTTAAGAATTTTTCGATAATTTGGCTGAAACAAGACAAAAAAAATCTAAGTAAGACAAGCATTTTTGCAGTGCTGTTTCTCTCTCACCTGATGCCTCTCTGTTGATCGTAGTCCAGGTCGCAGTTGTTGGTGTGTGAGTATGCGGCGTGAGGACTGCGGTGCTGGTGGCTCATGGGATACTGGTGGACCGAGGCGTTGGGCTGAGATGTGGTGTAGTATGGCGGTGGGATACTGTTACTGGTCTCACTGCGGTAATCACTGTCTCGGTCATCCATCGCGCTGTCTGGATCAATGTCTACACACGCAAATCAAAGACACATCTGCATTTGTGAAACTACACCACACACAAACACATCTGTCATGACCTGGTGTTATTCGAGAAGTGTGATGTGCTATTTTGCTGACTAGTGGAAAGAAAACACCCGAAATACACATTTAAGTATTTTATTGCACTTTATCTATTTGCATCTGTACATTTCAATACATATCTTTAAAGACCATTTCTCAAAATTATTTTTTTCTCTTCCCTTCAGCAGCACTTACAAACACCGAACTTTACAGTTTTATTCCTTTCTATATTCTGAAGGCTTGTAGAGAACGGTTTATTCATATATCATTTGACTGATTTTATATTCCTAAAAACATGATTATTTTTTATTCTGGATTTTTACAGTATTTTCTGATTTATGGAGTGATAAAAAACACCTCTGTAAAAAAAAAAGAAACACCTCTGTAAAAACCTTTAACTCTAATAATTTTGAACCTGGCTTTATCCAGTGTTCAGATTTCCATTCTGGAAATATGCAAATGAGTGCATGACTAATTAGATAAAGCCTAGTTTACATATTTAAAATTGTAATGCAAAACAGTCCTAATGCACTATGATTAAACAAAATTTAAGTATGGCGATTTTCTATTAGTAACATGTTTACTGTATTCACCTGTAGTGATGGATTTTAATTAAAGTTATTATGACATAATACCTGTGGTGAAGAAATTCTAGACAGCTTTCAGTATTTCATCGGCATCGGTTATAGAAAAACCCATATCGGTCGATCTCTAATATATATATATATTCAAATAATAATAATAATATTACCCAAAATGTATTTTAAGATTGGATTTTTTTAAAGTACATTTTGTAATATATTTCGCCTTTTAAAGGTTTAAACAGAAAATATTTTCCATTTGAGTATTATTTCAGATATCTTTTTATATATATATATATATTTTTTTTTTTTTAAACATATTTACATTAATTTTTTTTGACCATATGAGATCATACAGGAACATTTTATGGCACTTTTCCACTGCATGGTACGGCACGGTACGGCTCCGTACGGTTCACTTTTTGGGGGTTTTCCACTGGGTACAGTACCTGGTACCTGGTACTTTTTTTAGTACCACCTCGGTTGGGGTTCCAAGTGAACCGTACCGTTACCAGAACGTGACGTGTAAACTCTGCTGATCACGGATTGGCCGGAGAGAATCGTCACTACCTGCGTCACTGAACCTGCGACAGAAACACAAAAGAACCGCTAGATTTAAATCAGCACAGCCAGCGAAGGATCAAACGAGCGCACCTTTTTTTAACAACCAAAAAGTGGCTGTTCCCCCTGTTGAGGAAGTACAGACGTTCCTCTCGTTGATAGCAGAGGAGCGGATCCAGCGAGAGCTTGATGGGGCGACGCGGAATGAAAAGGCCCAATCCGTTTTTTAGGAGTCGCGGCAGTAGAGGCGGCGCAACTATAACGACATGTGAATAATCCCGCCCATTCTAAAGCGATACTAAACTGCAGTGGAAACGCAAACCGAGTCGAACCGAGCCGTGCCGTACCGTACTGAGCCGTACCGAGTCGAGTCGTACCACGCAGTGGAAAAGCGCCATTAGTAACAGAAACAGCAAAGAAAACAAAACACAAATACAAACACATAAACACACCAAACTAGGTCATGCAACTGTGACAAAACCTCATCTATGTTAGCCAGCTAGACATCTTTAACTTAAATTAGCAGATTTTACAATGTTTGATGCATTGTTATAAAGCATAATAAAGGTTTGCAAGGCATAAAAACTAATTTACAGGATTTTTGGGGTCAAAAATCACTAAAATACTTTTATTTAGCAAGGATGCATTAAACTGATTTATAATATTACAAAAGATTTCTATTTCAAATAAATGTTGTACTTTTAAACTTTCTATTCATCTGTGAATCCCGAAAAATAAAATGTATCAGTTTCCACAAAAATATTGGGCAGCACAGCTGTTTTCAACATTGATAATAATCAGAAATGTTTCTTGAGCAGCAAATCAGCATATTATACTGATTTCTGAAGATCATGTGACACTGAAGACTGGAGGAATGATGCTGAAAATACAGCTTTGATCAAAGAAATAAATTAAAGTTTAACAGATATTCACATAGAGAACAGTTATTTTGAATTGTAATAATATTTCACAATTTTATTGTATTTTAATCACGTAAGTGCAGCCTTGGTGAACATGTGACCCAGGCTATCAGGCAATCTAATCTTTCAGTATGACAGCATTGTTCACTTAGTCACTGACTCTGTCTGTGTCTCTTCCTGCAGCAGAGTAAAGTATGGGTTTGATGACTCAGTGTTCTGTGATTAAGGTGATGTGCTACTGGCTGCCATCCAGCGATGATTCCCAGCTGCGTGTCTCAAGCCAATCAGAAGGTCCCACTGTCTAGCCCCGCCCCCCTGGGAGCTGTGTCAGCAGAGTGTGTGTGTGTGTGTGTGTGAGAGAAATAAGAGCGCAAGTCACAGTAAGTCAGAGCTTCATTCATGCACGAGGCTGCTCATTCAGCTTTCTGCTAGACTTACTCATAAATCACATTAACGGTGACACACATACGGGAAGGACCGAACCGCTACAGCACTTAGTGCTTTAGATGCTCAGAACTGTGAAGATGATCCGATTCATGTGTGAAATCTGAATCTGATCTGATCTAATGCTCTCAAAAATGACCATCAGACACAATGGCTAGCTTATATGGTCAAGATATGTTTACTTTAATGATTTGCAAATCATTAGAATAGCTTGAATTAAACGTACATACATTTTTTTCCAGCATTTAATAAGATTTGCTTGAAAATATCTGAAAGAGAATAGCTGAATTATCCATTGACAGGCTGTAGGCGGATTTAACAATTTTGGAAATTTAATATTTTGGCTAATATCATGATGATTTAGGCTTTAATTGATGCATGTAGAGCATCACACTCACAGCACTGTGTTCCCGGTACAGACAGCGGCCTCTCCTGAACCTCCTGATATGAATACTGCAACACAAATCACACACAAATGAATCATTAGCCTTATGAATATGAATATGAAACCTGTTACATTAATGCAATACTGGCAGATTAAACTTCTAAAGGCAATGCAAACTCTTTATGAGAGATTATGATATCGATCAAACTTGATCAAAACAGAAAGAAAACAAGATATTTGTTCTTGTATTAAGCATAAAAGCACTTGATTTGGTTTAGTTTATCAGAAAACAAGACTCAAGCAAATGTACCTTGATTTAAGGATGTTTAGATATTTGTATTGGAAGAAAACAAAAATACAGATTAAGATATTCATTTTTGCAGTGCATGCGACATTTAATGCTATGACTTTATGAATTTAAGAATTTCTCTCTGATTTAAGACCTTTTTAAGGCATTACTTTGTGAAATTAAGACCAATTAAGACTTTTTAAGACACTCAGAATCCATGAAACAGGCCGGCCACTTTTTCTATGTAATGTGTTTCTTTGCTCTTCAAAGAACTTGCTTTGTTGTTGAAAAAAACAAAACTTTTTGTAAGAAAGATTGCACTTCTAATATAGTATAATTGTATTTTTATACTGGTACGGTCGTACCCATAGTAAATATGATTCTAAATGTTATATAGTTTTCATTTAGTTAAAAAAGCAATAAGTAGTCACTATGTCTAAATTAGTCTTTTTTTTTAAAACTGTGCTGATTTGCAGTAAACTATTTCAAATACGTAGGGGGCAAAAAAAAAAAAATTCTATTATTTCTTTTTTTGAGAGAGAAAATGCAAAAATATTAAATATCGTCAACATCTGAAAAAATATTGAGATTTTCTCTTTTTTTTGCTATATTGCCCAACACTACTATGTATGACAACATGGCATCTCACAAGTTTGTGTTTAATTTGCGATTGTGAATACATCAGCTTACTTTGCAGGTGCTGTTGTTTTGAAAAATGAAATGCCACAGTGAATCTTAGAAGCCAATTTGAAGTCTTTGTGTTTTTGGAGAAACTATAGCACAGAGAGACGACAGACTCACGTCCTGGTCTCGCATGGCGTTGAGCTGCTCCAGTTTTTTGGCCCAGTATCGAGCCTCTTCTTCTGGGATGTCTATGGGAGAAACACACACACACACACAGAGAAGAGGCGTCTTAGCCTGATGTCATATCTTAGATGTCATATCTATGGACTATGTAATGGAAAAGACTCCAGCAGAGACTCTTCAGAGTGAAAGCAGGTCATTTATATTGATTGAGCGAGTGAGTTTCAGTGTAAAGGTGTATTTCTGCTGAACACAGTCTTTTTGAGAACAAGACCTCATTTGTTCAGAAAACAGGCCGTGCACATTTGTTGATGCATTTCCTAATAAAGAGGTCATATGATGCTGCTAAAAAGAACATTATTTTGTGTATTTGGTGTAATGCAATGTTTATGCAGTTTAAGGTTTAAAAAACACATTATTTTCCACATGAGGTACATTATTGTTTCTCCTCTATGCCCCGCCTTTCTGAAACGTGTCGATTTTTACAAAGCTCATCGGTCTGAAAAGCGAAGTGTGCTCTGATTGGCCAGCTATCCAGTGCGTTGTGATTGGCCGAATACCTCAAGCGTGTGACGGAAATGTTACGCCCCTTAACACACTGTGATGCCATCTCCCGGCACAGCGAGACAAAACCAATAAAACCCATTACAAACGAGGCATTTGTTGCATCCAGTGGGGAGATAATTATGGATTATAATGACTTATACTGTGTTTTTACGCGTTGCGTTGCATATCGCAAATTCGACGAAGGGGCGTCCGGAGGGCTTGCAGCAACCACATGTGACGACCCCGGGCTGGAAGGATTACACTATCATATAGATGAGCTGAAAGGTAACAGACATGCAGTAAAAGTCACACAACCCCAGTTCTTTCACGAGGTCTGTAGAGATGCTGTGTTTTTGTGGCTGTAGCTGTGATTATCTTATATTATAAGCTGTGATGAGTATAATCTCACCCAGCGGCAGTTCGAAGCGCGTGTCCAGAAGCAAACGGTGAAATGTTGGATCTTTGGTCCCACAGATTTCATTATCCGCCATTATGACCTGAGAATCTAGAGTCAGCCACTCGCCTGGTCCTTCCTGAAACACACACGCACAAACACAGACACAGACACAGATAGACACAGACACACGCACACAGACACAGACACACAGAGTCACAGACAGACACACACACGCAGACACAGACAGACACACACACACAGACACAGACAGGGACAGAGACACAGACAGAGACACACACACACACACACACACACACACACACACACACACAGACACAGACAGACACAGACACAGACACACGCGCGCGCAGACACAGACACACACAGAGACAGAGACACAGACACACACACACAGAAACACACACACAGACACAGACACACACACACAGACACACACACACAGACACAGACACACGCGCGCGCAGACACAGACAGAGACACAGACACACACAGAGACAGAGACACAGACACACACACACACAGAAACACACACACACACACAGACACACACACACAGACACAAACACACAAACACACACACGCAGACAGACACACACACAGACACAAACACACACACGCACGCAGACAGACACACACACACACACGCAGACAGACACACACACACACAGACACACACAGAGACACAGACACACACAGAACTGTATTTACACATCTACACAATCAACTGACTCATACTGTACGTTGTGTCCCAAATGACATACTATATGCACTTAAAGTAGGCACTATGTCTAGCATATGACATTTTAGTCAGCTAGTTTGTCGTCCATCATCGTCACAGCCATTCCAGCATGTAATTCAAGCGGAGACGTTCAGTGCATGAAGTGTCCAACATCTCACAATTCATTTTTGGTTAAATAAGTATATAAGAAGTGCACTTCTTATTCTTACTACAAAACAGCATTGAATAGTGCATAAGAATGTGAATTGGGACACATCTACAGACTCATCATGCATATCATTTTGTCATCAAATACAAATACTTTTCAATTTTAGGCTAATATTTATATTACATTTATAATATATATAAAGATTGTATGTATAATATAAATAGCATATTGCATAATATATCCATTGTATATATTGTATATTCTTTTATAATGTTCAGTAATTAAACAAATAATTTTATTTTACTATATATATTGTACATTATATTACATATATTATATTGTATATACTTATATACTTTTATTCTCTTATATTTTAAAATAATATTATAAGAAATATCTTATTAAAATGATAAAAATATTTTTGATTATTTTTATTCAAGTCAGCATTTTTTATGAAGCATTTAAAGCAACAGTTGGTGACCCAAGGTTTTGTATAAATCAATATGTTAATATTGTAAAGATCAATTATGTTAATATTAGCAAAAAAAAAAAATAATAATAATAATAATAATAATAAAAGAAAAATCTTTAATAGTGATTTCCATCCAGAGCAGTGTTGCTTGAGTATCATTTAGATACTATTATGGTTTTTATTAATTGTATTAATTTAAATTATATTAATTATTAATTTGAATCAGATTTATTTTTATATTTTCCATTTTTATTTATTTAAAGTTTGCCATTTTTAGTAGTTTTTGTTTTTTATGCATGTCTGCATAGTTTTTTTTTTAACCCTCGACGGCTTCAAATCACATAAAACATACAAACACCAGAACATCAGCGACCGAGAGAAGAAAAATCTCATTCATTATTGACAGCGGATGATATATTATTCATGTTACGTTAAGAAAGCTTGAGGGAAAACTCGGGGTTATTTATAAAACGGGACATAAAAGCAGCAAATGGAAGGCAGCTCAATAAAACCGCCGTCTTTAAATAAAGCAAGCACTGGCTTATGTAACAGGACAGAAAGGGCACAGGCGCACATGAGGAGGTCTGAGGTGCATTACGGCCGTAAATCCAGCAGTGCATCCCGTGTCTGAACCAGATCTAATCAAAAACGTGACCTTCACTTCCCTTCTACCACGTCACACCCTGTCATCCGGTGTTAAATTTCATTTAAAGTCTGATCTCACCACAGAGAACAACTGTACTGCTCTTATGTTGCTCATAACATTTTAGATATTAAAATTTGGCATCTTGCCATCACACTGCAAAACATTATTTAATTACTTGATATTTTTGTCTTGTTTTCCAAAACAAATATCTAAACATTCTTAAATCAACATAAATTTAGTTGAGAAGCAAAACTATTTAAGATTAATCTTGTTTTATGAGAAATGCATCAAAATTAAGTGAATTTATGCTTGGACTGGGACTAGGACTGGCCGACATGGCTAAAAATATTATCACAACATTTTTTCCCATATCATACAATATCAATATTTATCCAGATATTCAATGTTTTCCGTAACTCCCTTTTAATTTAGGGCCCCATAAAAATTAATTTTATTTTCCCCAAAATTCTGTTTTCTATTTTATTTTTTCTGGATTCTGTGTTTTATGATTCAGTACTAATTTATTCATGAAATGAATTAATAAAACTTTAACAATTTAATCAATCTTTTAAAATGCATTCAAATGAAAACATAATTAATTTACAACAAAACATTTTTATTTTTTCAAACAAGATGTACAGAACTGTATAAATTAATGAAAAACACCTTGTTTGTATGATATTCCTTAAGAATAATAATATTGTTATTATGACTTTGAGAATTACATTAATAATATGTTTCTGTCATAATTTCTTCAAGTTAAACCGAACTTTTATTTTGATGGTTTGTTGTGAAGGTCTTTCAGTTTTAGTGTCAGTGTGTATTTGATGGTAGTTTTTCTCAAATGAAACAGTGAAAAGCTGGTGAAGAATAATTTCTTACTTAAGAAAAACAAATATTTAGTATTCCCAAAAATACTTACGAATGTTCAAAAAATGTTTTCTTAAGATTGTTCGTAACACAAAACTTAAGAAGAATTCAAATTCTTGAAAAGAGTCTTCTTTAAAATCATCATAAATAACCTCTTAAAATTAGAATAAACTTCAACTTGTCTTAAATCCTCAAAGGTTAGATGTTTAATGGATTTATTGGGTTGTTTCAAATTAATTGTTGCAAACATTACAAAATGCATAACTACGTTTATGCATGACGTGACTTTATGCCGAATTTGAAATTCAAAACGGAGTCAAATAGGGACCTCGTTTTTAATTTTAGCCTATAATTACGACATAATGTTCAGCAGCATTGAGTACATATACATTATTACTTGTACATTCAGTACAAGACAGTTGGCGCATGAGTGCGTAAATGAGTGCATCTTAACCCTTTAGGCGCCAGGGTTTTTTTGGAAAAATGCTGGATTTTGACATTAAGATTTCAGAAGCTTGTAGCTTGAAAGGGCTTAAATGGTTAAGACAGACTCTTCAAAAACAACTAAAGTACATGGTGCATTAAAAAACAGCAAAAATAATATGCACGCTTATTATGATTATTATGCAGCATTATGACTTTTCTCATGATTCTGAGATAATATCTCTCAATTCAGATTTTTTTTCTCCCAAAATTCTGTTGACATCTCGCAATTCAGTTTTTTTACAGAATAAAAAAAAAGTAAAAGTTAATTGCGAATTCTGATTTATATCTCACATTTTCCCAATTACTGAGAAGAAAAATCTGAATTGCAAAATATACACTTGCAAAAGTGTCAAACAAAAAACAGAATTGTGACATAAAAAGTTGCAATTATTTTTTTATATTTAAAAAAAAGCCTGAACTGTGAGATAATCAGTCACAATTACCTTTATTTTTTATTACGTGGCAGAAACAAGCTTCCATAAAAGCTTGATTTTCTTCTAAAAAAAATTTTTTTTTAAATCACATTAAAAACAATTGTGAGCATTTTTCAAGAATTTCACTTAGAAACATTCTTCAAACTTCATGAAATTTATCTTATTTATCAATTCTTAAGAAGATTTTTGTGAATCCGGCCTCAAGTAAACGTCTCTATTAGATCCCCAATTATACTAATCTTTCAATTAAAGCTTGATATTTAACTTTTTAATTAAACAGCATTCCGTTTTTGCTGTCATATTGAAACTGGTATTAAGAACGGCGCTCATATCAGCCGTATCATGCAAACCCAATTGTGCAGCACCGACCTCGTTTGATTGGCGGATACTCCGCAGTGGGATCCAAACGTAGCCGACCATGGTGTCCCAGATCAGTCCTTTATTCCACACCTCCACCGTTAGGCCCAGATCCAGCCGATTTATCTCACTGGACACAAAAAGAAAGAGAATGAAAAGACAGAGCAACCTTTAGATGAAGATAAATGCAGGTGGCAACGGACCGCAGAGTAAACCGCTGAATGAACCTGTAAATGGGAAACGAAAATGAACAAAGGATGAACGAAATAGGCTACTTGTACTTGCATAAAGACAGTAAGATGTTCTGCAGAGGAAAGTTAAAAGCTTTTATTGTGACCAAACATCAAGCCTGGTGTGAAGCGGAAAGCTGAGCGAGAGCTGCGTGGGTGAAAAGCTCGTCTGGAATCAAGATTCAATGTTTATTGAGAGACATTTGCATCTGATTGTTGGCACCACGCGGAGAGGATTTTACAGACTAAACCGCTTTACGTAATTACATCACTGCAAAATGGAAACAAATAGGAAACAAAAAATGCTGAGGAGAAATATAACACGTATCTAATTTATAAAACAGCAGGACACATTGTTAGAAAGAAAACCAAGAGAGGAGTAAAGACAATACTAGTTCTGTGTGCTTTCAAATATTATTACTCATGTGGTCAAATGTGTATTTAAGCAATAAAAATGCAGACATTTTGGATATTTTTAATTTTATATGCCACATTTCTCAGGCTTTAGAAGTGTTATGTGAGTCACATGTACAAACAATTAAAATACTGAAAGCTGAAACTGATGTCTTTCGAAGAGAAACAAGAATTTCTTCACCACAGATGATATATATATATATAATAATATACAAAGCTATACAATGCTTATATAAACATATAATATATAAATTCTAAGCTATAAAAAATTATTTATATAAATGTTATATCATAGCGCTGCTAATTCAATCACTTTAAATACAATAAACTACTATTTGTTTTACTAATTTATATCATCAGGCTTTTCCCAGATGATTAATAACAGTGCATTATGACAATTATCTTGTATTACAAGTTATCTGAAATGTTATGTTTAAATATGCTAATGATACATTATCTAATTAAATATGCACTAATTTGCATACATTTCCAGAACAGAAATCTGAACATTGGATGAAGCCAAGTTCAAAATTCTTGTTTGATTTTATCGAAATATTAAAGGTTTTGGATATTTTGAAGTTCTCTTTTTATCACTCCATAAATCAGAAGATACTGTCAACAGCCAGAAAAAAATACCTTTTCATCATGTTTTAAGGAATAAAAATGTTATAAATCAGGCAAATGATATATAAACAAACCTTTCAGTAAAATCCTTCAGACTAAAACAGTTTTGGTGTAAGTAAGCGCTGCGGAAATGGAGAAAAAACTCACCACCTTTAAAGATATGTATTGGAATTGAAATCTACAGACAAAAATCTACTATTTGTTTTACTAATTTATATCATCAGGCTTTTCCCAGATGATTAATAACAATGCATTATGACAATTATCTTGTATTACAAGTTATCTGAAATGTTATGTTTAAATATGCTAATGAGACATTATCTAATTAAATATGCACTAATTTGCATACATTTCCAGAACAGAAATCTGAACATTGGATGAAGCCAAGTTCAAAATTCTTGTTTGATTTTGTCGAAATATTAAAGGTTTTGGATATTTTGAAGTTCTCTTTTTATCACTCCATAAATCAGAAGATACTGTCAACAGCCAGAAAAAAATACCTTTTCATCATGTTTTAAGGAATACAAATGTTATAAATCAGGCAAATGATATATAAACAAACCTTTCAGTAAAATCCTTCAGACTAAAACAGTTTTGGTGTAAGTAAGCGCTGCGGAAATGGAGAAAAAACTCACCACCTTTAAAGATATGTATTGGAATTGAAATCTACAGACAAAAATAGATAAAATGCAATAAAATAGACACTTAAATGTGTATTTTGCATGTTTTTTTTTCCACTAGTATGAAAGAAGACATGTTATGGAAGCAAATTAGCCTAAAATCTGAAAATTGACTTGTGCTTGAAACACAATGTTTTTGGCTGTAGTGCCTTGCCTTAAAACTACTTCTGTGGAAGGAAAATTCAATACAAGAGAGTAATTGCAATTTGCTCAACCTCTAAATGATCTGAAAGAAATAAAAAATAAAATTTAATTTTAATCTTTATTAAAAACACAAAACAGCCATAATTATTAGCTGAGGCTGTTGCATACTGCTGTTCTTACTGCATACTGTTTCACATATTATTTTTTAAAAACAGCAGGCAGTATACAGAGTATAAATGTGCAGTATTCAGTACATTTTCCGCTTCTGAACATCGGCACTATTAAAGGCATGTCACGTAGTGGAGAGCAGAGAGAAGATTCTCTGCAGAGCGGCGTTACGTAAGAACAGCCGTGCTGCTGCACCAGTGCAAACGCTTTGAGCTCATCTGCACTGTCTGTTATCAATGAACAAGAGCGCAGGAGTGAGTGTGCAGGCGAATGAAGGGCAACAGAGGCAGATACAGTGAAAACGACAGCGATAGAGCAAAGAGAAGGTGATCTGTTAGTAAATCACAACATGAGAGGAAGATAAGGATAACTGAGGGAGAGAAAGGAGGAAAAGAAACAGAATAGAGTGCATGAGAGCGTGATTTATGGAAGCCCGTTTCTGCCACTGAATAAAAAATAAAAAGGTAATGGTGACTTTTTTCTTGCAATTGTGAGTTTACATCTTTTTTTCTCAGAATTGCATGATGTAAACTCACATTTGTGAGTTTTAAAGTCAGAATTGCAAGATATAAACGTTTATATCTCGCAATTCTAACACGTAATTGCAACTCGCAGGTTTAAGAAAATGTCAGAGTTGTACGTTTTCAGCAGGAGTTTGACTGACAGGTGATATGAGCAATCATAACGGCGATTCTGGCATTTTGTCTGACAAATAAACCAGACCAGAGTGGATGACCATCGGTGGACTTGAACTTGAAAAACGGTGTGTATTGACGTCTTTCTGCGGTTGAAACAAGAAACCTTCTGATGATCATTCATGTTTATTTTGTGCTATAATAACTAGTAAAGAGGAAGAGATGATCACTTCACGTGCGCTACAGCGATCTGTCACGACATATTTATTGTTTGAATTTCTAAAAAAAAAAAAAAGACTAAATTTGAAAGCTTAAACTTTGTTTCATTCCAAAAGTAACATGCTCTGTCTTGTCTGTCGGCGTGTCGTCAAGTGTTTTTTACTGTGTGAGAACATGATGTGTGGCGTGAGAGCACAGCGTAGCAACAGTAACTAAGGGGGGTGGGTCTTTGTGAAGGGTCAATTGTGAGTTTATATGTCAATTCTGAGAAAAAAGTAAGAATTGAGGGGGGAAAAAGTCTGAACTGTGAGATATAAACTCGCAATTCTGAGAAAAAAAAGAAAGAATTGATATACATATACATTTTTTTATTCCGTGGCAGAAACTAGGGTTGGGTACCGAAACCCTATATGACCGGTATATACCGGACCGAATCAGAACGCGAATTTCGGTGCCTCATTTCGGTGCCACTTAAATGCCTGAACTGTCGATTGAAATATTTGTCCTCTAGTGCTATGAAACGGACGTAAGAAGCATCAGATTCATCAACACGAATGATTCAATTCTAGTTAAATTTAAATACTGCATTCATGGGGTGTCAGAATGATCGTAAAAATTATATCCTGAATGAGAAAACTCATGTGAATGTCAGAAAGCTTTGATGATACAAATCCAAGACATCTTTGTAGTAATGTTACTGTCCATTTTGTTTTCACATTTTGAGTTAAATGTGGGGAAATGAGACCATCCGAGAAGCGCGTGAATGCAGCGACTACACTTGCTCTGACGGCAGCAGGTGGTCTACCGTTAGCTTAGCTAGCTACATTAAACGCGCTTAAATTAAAATGCCTAAAACTAAACGCTCTAAAGTGTGGCTATATTTCACAAGAAAGGATTCCGACACCGCAACGTGCAGCAAATGTTTTACAACAGTTGCATGTAAAGGGGGAAACACGTCAAACCTAATGAAACATTTGAGGGCACACGGAATAAACTTGAAAGCAGAGGGATGCACCGTGTTTGACAGCTTGCGGACATCAGCTGCAGTCATACCAACCCTAGCAAAAAGGAGTCCACCGATTATGATGACGACAGCAGCCCTTCCGCAGGTTAGTAGTAGGCTAATGTAATGTTAATTGCAAAATGCAAATCTTGCATTCATGCTAACAAATGATCAAACGATTTGTAAAATATTAATGTAACATTAACATTATTATGTTTATAATTTTGGCTCTCCAGCTAGTAGTACTAGTAGTACTACAGCAGTGACCCCATTTACCATGACAAAGAAGGCTACTTTGAAAAAAAAGGAGAAGGTGGAGGAACTCCACAGGGCTGTGACCAAATTTGTGGTCAAGGGACTGCATTCCTTTTCCACTGTGGAATCCCAATGGTTCAGGAAAAAAAAAAAAAAAGTAATGCGAAAAAGTTGTTAAATATGTTAAAGGAGAAATATTTTCTTTAATTCATGTGTTATTAAATTTGTCAACAAAAAATATGTTAATCCTTAATAGGGAAATGACTGCTGCCCTTAATCCTCACTACCGACCCCCATCCAGGGATGATCTGTCCAACACTCTAATTCCTGCATGGTACTCTGTTGAGAAACAAAATATTATTCTGGAGTTAACACAAGTGAGTAATGCTGCTATCACACGTGATGGGTGGACCAGTGTGGCACAGGACCACTATTTAACAGTTACTGTGCACTACACCAGAGAAGGCCACATTAAGCAAAAGGTGCTAAACACCAAAGCTGTGTATGAGTCACAAACAGGCCTCATGGTGGCAGACGAGATAAATTGCATTCTGGAGGAATTCCAGATAAACACTAAAGTTATAGCTGCCACAGTAGACAACGCCAGCAATATGGATGTTGCACTGAAGAATCTTAAGCTTTTAAAGGTGGGGTGCTTTGCCCACACCCTAAACCTGTTCGCACAGAAGGTTTACAGCATCAGTACCATTACAAAGTGGTGTGCCAGACTTCGATCTATTGTAGTGTGGCTGAGGAGGTCCTCCATGGCTAAGATCGTGCTGCGGGAGAAGCAGCAACTTCTCAGCAAGTAGCATAGTCATTATATATCTCAGAAAGTTATGTTTGTTTCAAACATCTTCGGTAGATTGTAATTCAAAATTTGCATTTGTGTTTCAGATCTGTCACAACATAACACCATCTCTTTTCTTGATGGTGGAGTAGTACCAGGCCATCCAGGCAGCATCACTTGACCAACGACTCAGAAAGCCAATGGAGAAAGACAAGTAATAGACAAAAAGATCAGTTGTGAAACAATGAATAGCAATAGTTGGTTTTTATTCTTATCTTAATATTTTCTTTTTTGTCCCAGACTGGAAAGACTCACAGATGAGGACTTCCAGAAAGCAGAGGATTTTGTTAAAATCATGAAGCTGTTGTACACCTCAACCCTCTGTGTATCCAGTGAGAAGTCACCCACATGTGGCCAAATTCTACCCATAATGACTAAGCTGGAGGAGCATTTCACGGTGGCTGAACAGGACACTGTTTTTATCAGTGCTTTGAAAGAGAAAGTCTGGGGAGATCTGGAGAAACGATATCAGGTATTTTCCATTTTCATTTCATTAAGAGCTTATGCTTAAAAAAAGAAAAAAGGCAAATCACAATTTTAACTGATAGACACTAAATAGTTTGTCATGTTTTATTACAGGATGAAGACATTAAGAACTTCCTCCAGGAGGCCACTTTGATGGACCCTCGCTTCAAAGGTAAACTTGGATGTGCTGTTGCTGCTGATGCTTGGGGCCGGTTGGAGAAAGCAGCAGTTTGCAATGTAACAGAACAGGTATTTTATGCTCAGTCTAATTTCCCATATGTGCAATGTTACAGTTTCTACAATGAAGTATTGCTGTTTATATGTGCAACATTATTTCTGCAGCTTCCAATGGAGGTCCTTCAGGATCACAACATTGAGGAAGATAGATTGGATGACCATCAGGAGGACAAGTCACTGAAGGCAGAGGAACATGTAAGTAATATTGGAATAGACTATTTAAAATGAATATATTTTTGAAGCAAGTCTAAACACTACTTTTTTTTCCGTCTCCATGTTACGAAGTCAGCCCTAGAAGAGCTGTTTGAGGATGAGGACCGAGAGTTACTTCAGGCAACAGCCTCTAAAAGTGGTGCCATCTCCATAGCTGAACAGGCCCATAAAGAGATTGAGACCTACAAAGGTCTACCTTCAGTCTCATCAGGACAAGACCCTGTAGCTTGGTGGTGGGGGAAGCGGGACAGTCTTCCCATATTGTCTGCACACATACCTGTGTGTGCAGGCATCATCAGCACCATCTGAGAGAGTTTTCTCCTGTGCAGGACATGCAATAAGTCAGGGGAGGTGTCATATTTTGCCAGAGAAGGCAAATATGGTCATATTTCTGCAAAAGAATTGCCGAAATTTGAAGCTGTTAAATTATTGTAGTTGGGTTAGGTGGCTTAGGTTTTATTGTTGTTGTGTTTTGTATTTACTTTTATATTAATGTATACTTTAAACTTTTAATATATTGTTCAATTTAAATAACTTTTTTGTCCAATAAAAAGGTATTCTTGAGTCACACAACATCATTTTGTGGCTTTTTTTAAAGTATCGGTTAAGGCACCGGTACCATTTTAAAATGATGGATTTGGCACCGGTATCGGAAAAAAAAAAACGATACCCAACCCTATCAAAAACAAGCTTCCATGATTTTATACTCACAGTTGTGCTGGGTGATTGTTCTGGTTTTATCGATTAAGTATTCAAATGTAATGTTTTGCCATGATTTATTTATTTATTTATTTTAAATCAAGGAATCGCGATTTTGAATAAAAGTATTAGCAAACATTACAATTAGGCATGTTGACAATATGTTAATGATAACAGTTAAAGGTGGGGTAAGCGATTTCTGGTAGCCAATGTTGACATCTGAAATCACCAAAACAAACACGCCCCTACCCCAAAAGGGTCTCGCCCCTATTTTGATAGCTCCGCCCCACACATACGTACGCAACCCAGGCAACGATTCGTTCTGTGAAACAAAGCAAAACCAATGTTACAGTGGCGTGGCGTGACAAAATACTATAGAACTCATTATAATCAGTGATGCTGTCTACACCACAGATATATATATATACACATCTATGGTCTACACTGGATGCGGCACGACACGACAAATCCCCGACGGAAAACTGCTGCTGCGTTCTATTTATGACGTATTGACACAAATTTCAAATGATTTTCAGCGGTCACTTTGTCGCATCCAGTGTACTAGACAGACTTTAGCTGTTGCGGCGCAGACACGGTGTTACTCACCTATCGAGAAGAAACAAAGCAACCTCGGCGTCTGATCGCAGGCCTTCCGCTCCTTGAGTTCTCTCCAGCGCTGGAAAGCTGATTCGATATTTACACGGGTCCTACTTCTTGCCTTAAGCCTTCTTTTGTTCCGCAGATGTTTTCCTCTTTTGTTTTTTTATCCACCACCTCTATCTTTCTGTCGCTCGGCTCGCTAATGTCCATCCTGTGCACTGAACCCTCTCTCCTCCACATCATGAGTAGACACGCCCCTTACTGCAGATTGGCTACAAGTTTTAATCAGTTTTCTAAAGCGTTTTTGAAAAATTGCTTACCCCACCTTTAAGATAAAAAAATGATCTGACCGCATGACGGCATACATGATGAACCACTCACGTGTGACGAACTCTATGAAGGACCGCAAGAAGAAACATATCGCTAGGTGCTATTCACAATAGAGGTCAACCGATAGTGGATTTTACCGATACCGATTAATCAACCGATAGTTTTCAAATGGATACGCAACGAAAACTAAAAGAGTGCGTAACTATTTAATTTAATTGTATTTTATTTTATTAACTATCAGTGCCGATTAATCGGCAAAACGATCAATCAATCGACTTCTAATTCACACAAAATGCGCTTTTGCGTTGACAAAGATGTGACGTGGGCCGTGGAATGGAAAAAACGCAAGGAGACGCGAGATGAACTTAAACATAAAGCAAAGAAAATAAATCAGAAAGGAACAAGAATAAGGACAGAAGAAGAAAATATGAAGGACTCACAACATGAAGTCTTGCTCCCAGCTGGGTTGGCTTCCCCGTACGGCGATGGTCGTACTCTTCACATTCTGAACCTTCAGAGTCACATATGTGTTGAATTTCTCTGCAGGAGGAAAAGAAATAGAGATAGAAATCATAGCATTCACATACTGTAATCCCAAAAAGTACTGTATTAAACAACTACTAAATAAATTTATAAATTAAATGTATAAGTATATTATTTTATTTTTTTATTTTAATTTATTTGTATAAATTAACATTAAATTAGATTACTAAATGATGTAAAAAAAAAGAGAAAGTAAACGCTTTTCATTGTTAGTTATATAGTAACACCAAAAATATAAATGTATTAATTATTTTATACATTTATTTAATTTAATTTATATAAATTAACATTAAAATAGATTACTTAATAATGTTAAAAATATGTTTTTTATTGTTAGTTATACAGTAACACCAAAAAGTATTGTACTGTACAACCTCTAAATAAACGTATAAATTAAAGGGGTCATATGATGCGATTTAAATTTTTCCTTTCTCTTTGGAGTGTTACAAGCTCTTGGTGCATAAAGAAGATCTGTAAAGCTGCAAAGACTAAAGTCTCAAATCCAAAGAGATATTCTTTATAAAAGTTAAGAGTCAACCACGCCCTCCTAAAACGGCTCATTCTAACACGCCCCACATGTCTACGTCACGATGTGGGAAGATTTGCATAACGCCACCCAAATGTTCACGCAAAGAAAGAAGGCGTAACTTTTATTGTACTTTTAACTTTTATTTGTTGTTGCCGCCGCTGTCATGTCGTGAAGGCGCTGTGTTTCGTTGTGAAATCGAAACTACTTTGTTTGGTTTTCCAAAAGAGGACGATATCTGCTTCGTCATGCCTGGAGCTGATCCGTGCTGGTCGCTGAGGAAATACATCAACTTTGCTGTGGATCGCTGGATCGGCTTTCACCGTGGACGAAGCGGAGTCCAGCCCGGGGTCGTCACATGTGGTTGCTGCAAGCCCTCCGGACGCCCCTTCGTCGAATCCGCCGGCCGTTCCTCACTCTAGCCTGCCGTGTGTTTCGTTGTAAAAGCGAAACTACTTTGTTTGGTCTTCCAAAAGAGGACACGACTAGAAGTGGTTAAGTTGTATTTACAACACTGTTCCAGAACAGTTCAGTGTGCAGCACATTTTATGGAGGAGGAGGTTTCCTGATCCTGGGAGAGTAGACTACAATGCCGGCTGTTCTGACTCACAGACTGTAAGTACGTTTTTTATATTTAAAGAATTTGCCACTGATGATTCAAACGGGAGTTTTGAGCAGTGTAGAGTAGCACTTGTTGTTTGTCATTTCTCTGATCACAAATGCAGACATGGTTTTATGTTTACGTGGTGCGATGCAACGCAACTCGTAAAAAGACTGTATAAGTCATTATAATCCGTAATTATGTCCCCACTGGATGCAACAAATGCCTCGTTTATAATGGGTTTTATGTTTTTGTCTCGTCACTCCGGCCGGACACGGCATCACAGTATGTGAGGGGCGTAACATTTCTGTCACACGCTTGAGGTATTCGGCCAATCACAACGCACTGGATAGCTGGCCAATCAGAGCACACCTCGCTTTTCAGACCGATGAGCTTAAAATTATATGTGTTTCAGAAAGGCGGGGCATAGAGGAGAAACAATAATGTACAGTATGTGGAAAATAATGTTTTTTTAACCTTAAACCGCATAAACACACTTCATTACACCAAATACACAAAATAATGTTGTTTTTAGCAACATCATATGACCTCTTTAATGTATACATTAATTTATTATATATTTTAATTAATTTATATAAATTAACGTTAAACTAGATTACTAAATGATGTAAAAAAAAATATTGCTTTTCATAGTTAGTTTATGATACCTAATGCATTATCTTGAACTATGCACTAATCTAGCTTTATAATAAACCTGGCATTGCACTCTATGACTATTATTGGCTTTGTGACAAATTGATTATGTTTCTCATTTTCATGTCGCCTTGGATAAAAGCATCTGCTAAACGCATAAATGTAAATTAACTTGTATTAACAAATTGAACCAAATTGAATAGTGTTACCATTTCCTGTTTTTAAATTTTAAAATGATGACCAATTTAATACAAATATGAAGTAAAATGGGTCACTTTTTATCATTGAGATCAATGGCAAAAAGTTTCTTAATTTAACAGAATGCACCATATTTTATCTATATTACATATATCATAATTTTTTTTGTTTTATAATTTTTACATATTTATATATATATATATATGTATATTTTTATGATTGTGATTTTTACACACAAATATATATATATATATGTGTGGGTGTGTGTGTGTGTGTGTGTGTGTGTGAAACCATGTGTGATGTCTGTTTACTTACCCTGGGGTCCATCATATTTGGCCTTCTTCACTGTAAAAAACAGACAGAAGAGTAAGAGTTAGTATAAGATAAATAATGAGCCAATAAACGAGCTGAAACAAACACAATGAAACTAGATTTTGGTGGTCGTCTGACGTTCCTTTTGACAAGGATCTTCCCACTGAGAGTGTGCAAGTGTTTGATACATACATAGTGTGCATTAAAGATGAGCATGAGTCTCTTCATACAGGAATGAGGGGATTTCTTAAAGTTTTCCATCTCTCTGCACTGTGATGCCGTGTGTTCCCATGCATCATTAATGCCCGCTGTAGCACATGGCATGCAGAGGAGCATTAATATGCAAACCCACTCTGAACCCCCATCCAACCCCACCCAAAGCTCATCATCTCTCCTCTTCCTCAGAACGGCCATTCAAACGGGTCAGTGAGTGTGTTTTAAAGCCTTGACTCAGCTGGACTCTACACACACATAAACACTCACTGCTGGTCCTCTGTAAACGCCTCGTGTGGTTTTCCTCTTCACTCTCATCTAAAGCGAGTTGCTTTCTGGGTAATCATTACTGTAGTGCTATTGCGGGATCTGTGCTGCAGTAATTCCGATGCATTCGCATTCGTTCCGGCACTTCTGCTGACCGGAATTCTGGCCAATAAAACCATTTGAAAAGATGAGAGCTGAGAGGAAAGCACCAGCATTAGTTGAATTTCACTGGAGTTACTCAGGAGTACATCTACAGACTCATGCAGCGAGAGCCCACGCCAGCGCCAACGGATATGACATCAGAGACGGATGAAAACCGAGCTGTTCTGGGCCATTTTGACCCACTACACTTCTTTGAAATGTCAGAAATACTGATTAATATGAAAGTTTGTTTTCTCCATGAGATAAAAAAAAGAAAAAAGTAATTGATTTTCTCGCAATTCTGAGTTTATATCTCACAATTCGTACGTTGTTTCTCGCTTTCTTAAAAATTCTGGAACAAAAAGTCAGAATTGCGAGACGTAAATTCAGTATTCTGACTTTTTTCTCGCAATTGCGTGGTTATACCTAACAATTAATTTAACAATAATAATAATACTTTAATATACAAGTGGTGTGAAAAAGTGTTGGCCCCCTTCCTGATTTCTTATTTTTTTGCATGTTTGTCACACTTTAATGTTTCAGATTATCAAACAAATTTAAATATTAGTAAAAGATAATACAAGTGAACACAACATGCAGATTTTAAATGAAGTTTTTTTATTATTAACTCTTTCGCGCGTGAGTTTAAAATATTCTAGCTGAGCCCCGAGCGTGAGGTTTTTTTAGGCGACCGTTATTTTAGAATGTATCGCCTTATTGCTTCCTTGGCGACGCGTCATGCTTGTCATGTGACACAACGCAGCCACAATAGATCTGTATGACACATGGATCGCTTTTATTTCGTTTTTCCTGTTTTATTCCAAATATTCACAAACATGCTCACTATATTATGAAATATCTAATATTCCAATTCTGAAATATGTGCAAGTAAATCTATTTGGTAGTTTAAACACTTTTATGTCGACCGTGTTAGTTGATCTATACCGGGTGATGGGCGCCGCCATGTTAGTTCGCGCTGCATCCGAGCTGTGGGATTTACAACACGCAAATTCATCCTCTCCTACCAAAACATGTTAAAGTAGCTCTCCGGTAAACTGGGAGAAGAGCAGAGTAAACTTTATAGTTACCTACACAATCTGTATATGATAACAATAAAAACATGACATCAGACTATATTTTTAAGGATGATTATTGCCGTTTCCATAGACATCAGCGTGTATTTTACAAACTGTAAATGTATGGTTTTGCTAGTACTTATGTGTATTTAAATGTCTGAAACCCAAAAAAAGCATTATATGGTTGAAAACACTGAATATTTGTGATAATATGACAAGCGCTCAGCGCGTCCAATCTGGCTCCGCGCCAGCCAAAGCGCGAAAGCGGATCTAAATTCAGCGGTTGATGACGTGACGCACTGAAAGTTTTAATCACACCGGTGTGATCGTACGCGTTAAAGGGTTAAGGGAAAACAAAATCCAAAACTACATGGCCCTGTGTGAAAGTGTTTGCCCCCTAAACCTAATAACTGGTTGGGCTACCATTAGCAGCAACAACGGCAATCAAGCGTTTGCAATAACTTGCAATGAGTCTGTTACAGCGCTGTGGAGGAATTTTGGTCCACTCATCTATGCAGAATTGTTGTAATTCAGCCACATTGGAGGGTTTTCGAGCATGAACTGCCTTTTTAAGGTCATGCCACAGCATCTCAATAGGATTCAGGTCAGGACTTTGACTAGGCCACTCCAAAGTCTTCATTTTGTTTTTCTTCAGCCATTCAGAGGTGGACTTGCTGGTGTTTTGGATCATTGTCCTGCTGCAGAACCCAAGTTCACTTCAGCTTGAGGTCACGAACAGATGGCCGGACATTCTCCTTCAGGATTTTTTGGTAAACAGCAGAATTCATGGTTCCATTTATCACAGCAAGTCTTCCAGGTCCTGAAGCAGCAAAACAGCCCCAGACCATCACACTACCACCACCATATTTTACTGTTGCTATGATGTTCTTTTTCTGAAACGCAGTGTTACTTTTACGCCAGACGTAATGGGACACACACCTTCCAAAAAGTTCAACTTTTGTCTCGTCAGTCCACAGAGTATTTTCCCAAAAGTCTTGGGGATCATCAAGATGTTTTCTGGCAAAACTGAGACGAGCCTTTATGTTCTTTTTGCTCAGCAGCGGTTTTCATCTTGGAACTCTGCCATGCAGACCATTTTTGCCTTTTTGCATTCTTAACTGAGGCAAGTGAGGCCTGCAGTTCTTTGGATGTTGTTGTGGGGTCTTTTGTGACCTCTTGGATGAGTCGTCGCTGTGCTCTTGGGGTAATTCTGGTCGGCCGGCCACTCCTGGGAAGGTTCTCCACTGTTCCATGTTTTTGCCATTTGTGAATAATGGCTCTCACTGTGGTTCGCTGGAGTCCCAAAGCTTTAGAAATGGCTTTATAACCTTTTCCAGACTGATAGATCTCAATTACTTTCTTACTCATTTGTTTCTGAATTTCTTTGGATCTCGGCATGATGTCTAGCTTTTGAGGATCTTTTGGTCTACTTCACGTTGTCAGGCAGGTCCTATTTAAGAGATTTCTTGACTGCGAACAGGTGTGGCAGTAATCAGGCCTGGGTGTGGCAAGAGAAATTGAACTCAGGTGTGATAAACCACAGTTTTAACAGGGGGGACAAACACTTCTTCACACAGGGCCATGTAGTTTTGGATTTTGTTTCCCCTTAATAATAAAAACCTTCATTTAAAAACTGCATGTTGTGTTTACTTGTGTTATCTTTGACTAATATTTAAATTTGTTTGATGATCTGAAACATTAAAGTGTGACAAACATGCAAAAAAATAAGAAATCAGGAAGGGGGCCAACACTTTTTCACACCACTGTATGTAATATTAATAATATAATAATTTAACAATAATTATAATTTAGATATTAATATAAATTTTTCTTCTCAGAATTGCCCGTTTATTATTCACAATTGCAATTTATAAAGACACAATTGTAAGTTAACATCTCGCAATTCTGAGAAAGTCCAACAGAGTCTGGATTGTTAGTTACAAACTCAGAATTGCAAGAAAAAAAAGGCAAAATTGTGAGACAAAAAGTCACAAGTACTTACTTTATTTATGTAATGTATGCATGTTTGTGGCAGAAATGGGCTTCCATATATTAACCTAGCTAGGATATTTTTCTTGAACCTGTGTACTATTTCTCATTAAGGGCATGGACATACCTGTAAAGTTATACCTCTGAGGGTATTTATATTTATATTTATATAAAACTTTTTACATTTATGCATTTGGCAGATGCATTTATTTGCAGAATGGATGTTGTGTTGATGGCGTAAATTTTTATCCGTTCATGCATGTAAATTTTGTTGTGAATTAAAAGCATGATCTTAGCGTTGTTATGTTCTACTGTTTGAGCTTTGGGGAAAGCTTTTGGAAAGCACAAAAAATAAATCAAATAATAATTTTTAAAAAGTAAATTTAAATGTAAAATAACGAAATACTGTTTAGAATATTCACCTTTCATGGAAAGCAAGAAGTATCATTAAAGTAGTCCATAATACAAATATAACATATTAAAGTCTTCTGAAAACATTTGTGTAAAGAACAGATGCCCTGGGTCACAAGAACCAAACACAATAAATGCTATAGTTTAGAAATACAGACTTCAGTTCAATTTCACCCAATGGCCTCTTAATTCTGTTTTCAGTACGTCAGCAAACACTCGCTCGGTGGTACTTTCTTGGCTTCTGACTCATTGTGTCTCTCTGCGGTCTGATCGAGTCCACAGCGTTTTCCTCCCCGGGGCTTCCGGTGTCACTAATGAATCCTGAAGAAGAAACTTCTTCTTTCTGCCCTATCAGACCAACAGCAGATAATGTAATTTATCAGACTCATCTCACACTGGACATTAATGGCTCCCTGAATTCACTCGTTTGCTTTCGTTTCGTCCCTCACAAACAAGCAAGATTTTTCAGAGTTAAAGAAACACACATTCATTCATACGCCTTTACTATAAGAGAGAGCATTAGTGTATCATTTGTTACTGTGAGAATGGATAAATAGAACAGTAGGTAGATAGATAGATAGATAGATAGATGAACTTCTGACAGAAAAATTGAAATATTTCCATGACTTTCTAACATTTACAGACGGAGAATATACCTGTGAAATGTAAGTTATGCATTCAGGAAGACAGCACATCTCAAACACATTAAACGGCGCGAGTAGCCTAGTGTCTGTCAGCGGCACACGCAGCCTTTCTGTCAGAGCATATGACGGGCCGAGACGCTTAAACTATGCAAAACTATAAACTATACTGTGTCTTAACAGTTTTTAAAGGCCTTAATATAAAGCTTGTCACATGTCTAGAACTAATTGTATTATGCACTTTCTCCGAAGCAGCTCAGTCTGTGTCCTCCGCTATATTTTCAGATGCGCTTGT